GCATCATATACTCGATAAACGGAACCCGGCCGATCACGCTACAAGAAGTATCCCGCTTCAGGACGTGGAACAGCTTTGGTTGCAACCACCGGAATTCCTACTGTTACTAGAATGTGATCAAAACTACAGAACCACACAGTTCTTCAACCGGTTTTCACAACTACAGATAAGGAGAGAACTACTACACTAAATTTCTACTGTACAATTCTAAAAATCAACGCTATACTGAAACGGTAAAACATTTCAACTAGCGCAAAAAGTGAACCAATCATTGATGTTTCGAGATTTTCCGATTGGTTTTGTCTACTCCGCGCAACTGCTCGTGTTGTCTAGCTCAAAGAAATTCTTCAGCAAAAACCAAAAACGCGACTTAAGAATAGACGACCGGGAGATTTTCTAAAACTCTACTTTACGAGCAACCACAAAATGCTACTTTCCTGATGCTAATAATTTTTTAGCTACCAACAAAGTATTGGACAAAAAAAGATGCTTTACTGCCATACTCACTATTTATGGATGGTAATCTTATTTGTGCGCGAGAACCGCTGAGCCATTCATTAATGCCAGATGCAACTAAGTACCCCATTATTCATTCTAGACGCAAAGACGCAAAGAAACCTTTGATTCATTTTATGGTTAAAAACGCACATCATAAATGCATGCACCTCGGTACCGAAATTGTACGACACTGCTTGCAACAAAGCTTCACAAATTTGGGTCTCAGAAAAGCATTGAGACACATTCGCCACCACTGTTTCTTGTGCCGCCGTTTTCAAGGAAAAGGTTTAAACCCTTTCATGGCTGATTTTCGATAGTTTCGAGGTGAGTTGCACGCGTTGTTAATTAAGTAAAGAGACAAATGTAGTTTTATCTGTGGCATCTCTTACAGCAATAAAAATGGACCAGTGTAGTCAAGTCCAACGTTCTGGAATGGAAATTGATTACGTTCCGCGCCATTGAAGCGCTGAAACGGGAAAAATTGCACAGCGCTTTGATGGCCTGGAAACTAATCAATGTCCTTTTCAGAACGTTGGACTTGACTACCTGATTCCATTCTACATTGCTGTCAAAGATACCACAAAAAAAAACTACATTGGTCTCTTTACTTGTTTAACAACGTGCGATCCACCTCAAAACTACGGACAATCTGACCACTGAAAAATGCTAGAAAGCACTTTGTAGATTCATAGCGCAACGTTGGTCTCCTAAACTAATTTTTTTTGATAACGCAGCATACTTCATCGCCGCACGTAAACAAACCATGAAACAATCCTCAAATATCAACAAAAACGAAATAGCAACCAAATTTCAGCTGATGTCAATCGACTAGTTTCTTAATCCACCATCTGCTCCTTATTTTGGTTGGGTGTGGGAACGTATCGTTTCGATCATCAAACGAGTCTTTGTATTGAATTTAGAATCGGATAGACTTTCTAGGAATCTTTTCATCAACTATTGTAGTAGAACGCGAAGGCTTCATCAACTGAAGACCACTGACCTATGTAAGTTGCGACATTATTGACACAATATCACTTACATCTAACCACTTCCTACTTCGGAGGCCATTCATTTACGCTCCCGCAGCTTTATTCTATGACCAAACAAATACCAACAAACTAAGCAACAACTCCTGGAAGCTAACCAAGGACCAACTAGACAGCTTCTGGAAGCGACTACTGAAAGAATACGCTCCAACCCTGATCAAACGAACCAAGTGGAACCAAAAAGAGGAAACCATAGAAAAAAATTGAACTCGTGTGGATCCTTGAAGACTGTACTCCACGAGGCATATTGCCCCTGGGTAAGGTTGTTGAAACGCTTACGGGTCTTGATGGCACTGCGCGCTCATGCGTAATCAAAGCAGCGTTAGGAGCACTTACTAGACCCGCGGTGAAACTAGCTTTAGTAGAACCAAAAACGGATTTTTAGACCTCACTAGCATTTGTAATACCGAGCCCTAACCCCCCTGGTCTCCGTCTTACACAATGAATGCTTTTTGAGCCGTAATTTTTATCTTAAAAAAAATTCAAATTTTGTCTCAATTTCGAGAAGTCTATTGAGAAAATATTATAGATTTTATCAACCTGGGTGCTTTAATTGATTTTCCAATCTTACTCTTTTGTGTTTTGTTTCCTATAAACTGGTTTTTATGGCTCAATAAGCAATGAAATCTCTTTTCACTTACTGAAAATTAAACTACAAATAAATTCAAAAAAAGTCCGATTTTTTTCTGATTTTCATGTATTGAACAAAAAATGCTTGATCAGAACCATATGTGCTGCTTGCATACTTGCAAAGTGGGTTTCTTAAAAATTGTTCTGAAAAACTTTACTGTGTCTCAAAGAAAACTGATGTGAAATTTTTTCTTCGGAATTCTTTAAAAGATTGCTCATTGGCAATAATGCATTGTAGATAGTCCACCTCTACCTTTGTGCGGATAAACTAAAACAAAAGAAAACTTTATAAAAAACATTTTTTTTGCAATGTACAATTACAAGAAAGATGGAAAGATTTAATGCCGCATGACTGGCTTTTCACATTAGGAATAAAAAACTACTTCACATCTTATGGTAGCTTTTGGAAATTTTGCTTAGCTTTTTTAAGGTCAATTCGAATGTTTTCTGAGCAACTCTAAAATCCTGTGAAGACCATAATCTGCCCATTGAAAAAATAAAAAGCCCACAATGACGTTTTGATCACTTTAAAAAAAAAAATTTTGGCCAAATTAGAATGAAAATAACAAATTTTTAAACTTAACTCCGTATTTTGATTTCATAATTTTTGATATGCGGATTGGTACAACTCGTTGCGTTTTTTTATTAATCAGATTCTCGTCATGGTTGTATGACGGAAACAGCAAACGATGAGTTGAACCTCTGAGCTAATTAAGCATATATTATCGCTGTTGAAACAAATGTCCACAAATCAACTGCATTGAATAATCCAGCGCGTTGTGAATTACTCGCTTTTGAATTCTTAAACCCAACATTTGATTGTTTCGTTTTGTACATCGGTAAGTACATCAGTTAATTTTCTTTATCCAAGAGGCAGAGCTTGATGTTCGTAAAAATTATCAAAAATTCGGAACAAAATATCGGTAGGACTTGTGTGCGTTGAGTTCTCTGAATACTTCTAATACGACTAAAATTTATTTTTTCATCATGACTTGTTATGTTAAGGATTTATTTTAAAATTTTTACAAATTTCTTGACTGCGGTTATAACGCAAAAAGATGGTTTAATTCTTCCAGTAGTTTTTTTCTCATGCCATATTTTAAACAGCCTAAGCATTTCCATTAAAAAGCATTACAAACTTCTTTATCCTACTTGTCTTTGTTTGATATGGTAAAAACTGGTTAGCGCTAATCGTTGTAGCTGATACAAACAGTTTGATTACAATTGAACCAACCGAAAACAGTTTTATAGCAAAATTCATCAAGAACAAGATGAAATGAAAAGTTTAGAAACAACTGAAGGCGTCAAGTACAAACCGAATTCCATGACTTTTTCAATCATACATTAAATTCAAAAAAAAACTAATGAAAAAAATTATCGGTATTGAGAACAACTGATCTGAAGTTTTTCGGTTTTCAGAAATCTTTCAGCGAAGTAACCTACTTTAATTTGTAATCACTGCAGAATGCATCAAGGAAGTTTTGAATGAAATTAACCGTCGTCATTTCATTCTTGAAGCTGTTTGTCAACCAAAAGTAACCCAAGAAAAAAGGAGAATTTCAAGTTATCATTGGAATTTTTTAAGTTTGCTTCCTTGATTGTAGTATATTCATTCATTGTGAATTATTATGTCACACGAGCTAACGCTATTTCGCTCGGTTAAGCTTGCATGGCGGTTATTTTAAATCAGCACTAATGTAGCTTGTTCAGCACAATTTGCAATAAAAATTCGATAAACAGCAAAAAACTTCAGCAAAATGCAATCTAATTTAATGAAATATATCATCAAGTTTCAACGAAATTTTTCTGCTGACCGCAAAAACATCTCTTCAACTACCTAAATATTTTTGAAATGAGAGAGGACGTATAAACAACGTGTTTCGATAATACCCTGTAGAGCTATTTTGGAATCTTTCGACAATGGAGAAATCGAGTAGAGTTATAATCGGAGCTTGTTTTTGTTAAAGTATAGGCATTTATCTTCAAAATTTTTGCCTTGAATCGTCATTTTTTTTGTCCAAAATAGTTTTTGTCTATTATAGCCTCTCCAGTTTTTTTTGAAAATTCATTTTTCTTTTGCTTTCGAATTTGAATTTTGCTCAAAATGGTTTTAGTCCATTGTGTCAGAAATATTGTATTTTCTCAGTTTGATGCTGTTTGCTTAATTTTAGGGTTAATGGGCACAGCGCGCGCGTGTCGAATCTTAATATTTAGAGGCACTTAGCATAGTAGTAGGGCGTTGACTTTGAGATCGTCATATCGAGTAATCGATCCCCTGCCGTGGCAATGATAGTGCGTGAGGTCAAGCTCTCACTTGACCTCTAGCTTCAGGTCTACCACGGCTCCAATAACGGTACCCTGTGAAAGTTTTGACAAAAAAATGGCCTTGAGTCGCAAAAAAAGCTTCTCTCAAAGACATAACTTAGTCTAAAATGTGGGGAAATAAGAGAAATGGTCTATGCTTAGACTGGCTGGATAGCCTTTCATAGATCCTCTGCCAATCGCAGAAAACACAATTAATTATTAATTATTATTTATTTAAAGAAAAACTGATTTTGTCGCGTTTTAACATTTAAAGCTTCTAAAGGCACCGCACCAATCGCGATTGTTTATCATCATTCTTTTTTGGCATGGACGTAAATACCTATAAATTGTCATGAAGCTAATCGTCTCTTTATTAAAACTTCACATGCTTCGAACGTATGAAAACATTTATCCAACTTTTTCCGCTGAAAAAGTTTCATTGTGGGAGCGAAACGCGTTTGGAGTAAGTCTTAGCATGAACTCCTCGCTGAGTAGTTTTTTAAAGTTGAGTCGGGAAAACTGTTCAACTATTAACTTGAATTTAGTGCAATAAAGTTCGAATACACAATTTTTAGTGTTTTGCAAAATAAAATAAACATCAAACAAATAGATAAAGTATAGGAATGTGAGATTTTGTGATTTAGATAAAGATGATTTGAGATACAATTTTATACGAGAAGTTAGGATAAAGAAGCTACAAAAGTAAACGCTAAAGCGCTTTAATTTTTTTTGCTGATTCTGTACAAATTGCATAAATTTCACGCAAAATTTAGAACTAAGTTTTGGACAAAATGTCATTTAGGTCAGGTTTTCAAAAGGGCATTTAAAATACTATTCTGCGCTGCAGATATTTGGTTTTCACAAGATTTAGGGAAGCAAGAGTTTGTGTTAGCAATTGAAACGCTTGTAGTAGCTTGATTAGGGCTTGTGATGATACTTCGATCTTTTGGTTCAAAATCTTTTTTGACAAAGTTGCTCGAAGTTATGTAACTAGCTTGTGACGCAGCAATTGCTTCAGAGTTGTTACCAGGTGTATTACGTAATAACTTGTTCATTGCATCATTACCCCACGATGTGGGAAGTGTGAAATCAAATCGTGAACTTAAACCAGCAGAATTAGTGTTCACACTCGGATTCAGGTTCCGATTAAGTTCAGGTTGGACGTTGTAGAAAGGAAACAAACTCGAAGCGGCAGCAGCGGCTGCTAAAATTGATGACGGATTAGCGACAAGTTGATTTTGATTGGATACCGGCAAGGAACGAAAGTAGGGTGCGGATGCCGAATCGATCCCGGGAATCCCGACTGGGTTCAAACCTACGGGGTCATTTGAAGTTCGACGCCCTCGTCTACTGGGTCCATTGTAGATATGAGTTCCCATGTGAACTTTCAAGTTACCTTTCGTCGTGAAAGCCCGTTGACAAATTGCACACTTGTACGGCTTGTCACCTGTGTGAGTACGTGTGTGTATCTGCAGTGCTGATGCCGATGAAAATGGCTTCGAGCATGTTAAGCAGACGTGTTGTTTGGCCGAACTACCAACGGGATAAAACTGATGCGGGGAACATTCATTTTGACCCTGAGAGTTCTCAGATGGCGAAACTCTGCTAGAATCTCCTGAATATCCAAGAGGCGATTCCGACTCTTTTTTCACACCTTTTTCATCTTCGTCCTCATTTAGCATCGAATAAATTTCCGCCCCATCTGAGTTTTCACCTTCATTCTGCGAGTTTGCGGTTTTAATTGAGTTCAAATTATCACAGTCAGAATCGGTAGATTGTTTTGACTCGCTTTCGTTGATCGCAAAGTCTCCATTCTCTTGCTTCATTTTTTCGAAAGCACTTTTCAGCGACGAGGAAGAAAAGTTCAAAATAGTCGAATCGCTTGTTTCCTGGAGAGATGGGTGCATTTTGTACGTGTTTTCAACGGTGTGATCCCTGAAACCATACCAACAAATTTTACCAACAAATTATGGAAAATGTTCATGGTTTGCTTGACGTTTTTTGAGCGAACTTCAGTTTGTCTCAATTTGAGGTTTTACGACCAGTTAGAGGAAAATAGAATGTTATTTTTGGATAATTTGAAAAACCTATAAGAAAATAGGCCGTATAGTTAATTGTGCCTCGAGGCAGAGTCAATTTGTCTAAATATTTCATGTTCGGCGGTTGGCATGTTTTTGCGAGTTGGTAATATTTGCCATAAAATAATTTAGTTTATTTTCTCAGCCGAAGTCTTTGATTTGTGCTATAGCGCTGGGCGATTTGGGTGCTAAAATGTGCGTTTCTTTCAAGTCGATTCTGTTTATTTCTCTTTATCAAATCATAAAGCTTTTGAAGAAGAGCGGCTCTTTTACAAGTTGACTTCATTAAATTTCCTCAATGTTTATCCATATATTAATGTCAAAAACTGTGCCATAAATTATGGAAATCGGAAACATGTTCTTCAAATAAATGGAACGAGAGCAAATTTTTATCCGCAACTTGTTCAGACTTTCATTTTCAGATCGGATGATGGCAGTCCCTGTAGCGTTGAGCCGTAATGTTTGGGAAAGTTAATCAAAATAAAACCGGCTTGTTTAAACAAAATTCCCTCATATTGGCATTAGTATTACATAAATTTGATATTTTAACAAGTAAAATATCTATAAACAATTTCCCCTTCGACTTGATTGAACCGTTCTGTTAACTAAACACTCAACAACCTTCCTTTACCTTTCATACCTGTGCGATTTTAGTCATAAATTAAGCAAATACAACGAATAATGTCTTTAATTGACAAGAATACACAAATTCGCAAAATGGCTCCAAGTCAAACCCCGCTTTGTAATGTTACAGCGACTTGAACCAGAAAATTCCGAACAGGCTCAGACAAATCTCATTGACAAGTTCAATTTCAAAAAATAATATAAGAAGTGACAATTTTAGGCTAAGTTGTAAGTTAGGGTAAATGGTCAATTCGAAACTACTTACTTCATATGTAAGTCAAGGGCATTTGAAGTGTCGAAGTGCATGTAGCATACATGGCACTGGTTCAGTTGTTGACTTTTAAGGTGCATGTGTGACTCCTTGTGAGTCTCTTGATGCAATTTCATGTTTCCTCGACTGGAGAACTTTCGCTGACAAATTTCACAGCTATATGGCCTTTCGCCTAAAAAAACAATGAAATGAAACGCTTGAATCAATTATAAAACTATTAGAAATCGATGAAATCATTTCAAAAAATCTGATCAATCTGGACTTCGAACCTTGGACATCATGCTTGATAGAAGTAAGTTTTTTTTACTTACCAGTGTGTATGCGGTAATGAATTTTCAGTGCACTTTTGCAGCTGAGAACTTTCTGGCAGACGTTGCAAACGCAAGCGGTCTGCGGCAAATGTTGACTCGAAAATTCCTTGGAGTGAATTCCCATTTTAGTTTCAATATTGTCAACTAGCGCCTGAAGTTTCATCGTCTCACTTGATGAGTTCACGTTTGAGAACTCTGATTGGTTGATACTTTCTCGCTTGTACTGCTCGGCTGCCGTTGCCGCAATCTGGTTGGCTACCGAGTCGCTTCCATCTTCAGGGTTCACATGTAGAACCTGTAGGGGCGGTAGCTTCATTTGATCCAACGAATCTTCATCTTCATCACTAAAGTTAAAAACAGTAAAAATTAATTTACTATTTACTCGTGAAAACATAACATTAAATTTATATATATAAAAAATTGAAATACGTAAATTGAAATAGTGCTTAAGCGAGCATCGCAAAATCAAATGAAAGACCACCGTATAGTGTAAATCGAAATCTCGCTAAAACTAATTCAAAAAAATTGCTATAGTAGCCATCATCAATAAATAACCTGTTTTCGTTTTGACCAGCTGAAGTAGTCAAATTGATCGGCTGCTGACTGGGATCAACGAACACCTGGTCCGAATCGCTGTCGTCTTCGTCATCACTGAAGCTAGTCTCGTCTTTCGTTTTCATTGCCTCCAAATCCTGCGCCAGCTTCAGTTTCAAATTTGGGTCGTCTGCTATGCTCGATAGAATGGCCAGGGGTGAAATATCTGGACTTTGCGATACCGATGGATCCAATTTGGATATCTGAGGACTTCCAATTACTTGGTTTGCCGACGTTCTGGGACAACGATCGAACGCCCCTGAGCACTCGGCTCGAGTTGTCGGAGACTGAGAGCAACCGGATCGACCTATCAGTCCGAGGTGGCTCAAAGTAGGGTGAACTGGGTTTAGAAGTGTCGGCTTGCCGGAAGACCCGACTGGGTTTTCTGGGAATGAGGAGAGGAGGGTCGGAAAGTTGGCGTCCAGATATTCTGGAACTGGATTGGAGTTCATCTAAAATAATTAAATTCAGTTTTACATGTTTGTTATAATTAATTAAGTCTTGTATTTTAAATTAAGATACATTTTTCTATGAAACATGTGCCATTTTTCTTTTCCTGATTTTTGGGAAATTACGCGGAGACGTCGGTTGAGAAAGGGAGCACATTTATGACATGCTTTTAACAATTTACAATTCATAAAGTTTATTTGATTTTAGCCTGAAGTTGATTGAAAGCTTTTTGTTAAGTCTCTATTTTCTAGTTTGATTGGATTGACAACTTATCACAAAAACATGTGTGCCATTTATTGTTCAATTTGCTGATAAAAACAGGTTCTTCTGTTCCTTTTCCCCGGCAGAGCAAAAGGATACAAAACTGTGGAATTGAAAAATTATGATGTTACTGACAGTTTATGTGGATTTTTGAGCATTTAAATTTGATTGACGGGCGGGGAGCGCTCAACATAAAAAATTAAGAGACGGTGGCAATAAAAAGCAGGAGTGATTTTGACATTGACGTTTAAAAATGGCAAGAAGACAAAAGTACAAAAGACGACTGAAAAAGGAAAACTTGGATTGTTGAAAATATTACCACCACAAGGCTCAAGTATAAATCTCAAGTACTCCATTTTAAACCAGAATTTACCATTTTCACTAACTTACTGAGAGATAAGTTAAAGATGTCTAAAAGAAGGACTTTTTTTCTATTTAAATTATGGACGTGAATTCTATTGAAATATTACTAAAGTTAGCCTATAAATATAACCCTAGCAGAGCATATTTAAGGCAGCAAATTGCTGGTATGAAAAAATTGAAATCGAAATGATTTCATTGAAAAAGGATAAAAAGAACAAAAACCGGGGAAATGCAAAAAGGCTCGACAAGAGCAGAGAAAGATAAGTTAGCATGGTATAGATTTTTATTATTATCAAAAAATCATTAAAAAGCGGTCGCTTTATGCCAGTTCTGTTTAAAAATGACATGTGTCAATCATTTATAAGCAATTTTATCATCATAATCAGCAGTCACTTTTGCCCCTAAAAACCCAGCAATTTTAACCCCATAATTTCAAACAAAAGTTTTGCTTTTAGCTAAGAAAAAATTATCATGAAGTAAAATAGACCAAATTGAGACCTTTACAAAGCAACTATTTCTCTTACGCAACTCTCGAAAACTTTAAACTTATACTGTTCCAAAAAAAATAATTAAGTACTTTTTGAAAGAGTCAAGTTTATTTAAAATTCTAGATTTGTAGTATAGTCAAAAAAGAATTGTAAAAATTGACTTATAATAAAAGCGAGCGCGGCAGGCAATTATGTTAACTTCAGTTTTCAAACAAAAATGCAATTGTCAGATTGCAATAAGCGAATGCTTTTCAATCTGCCTCCATCAAAAATATATCCCCTCTTTGTGGGCTAAATTCCCCTCGAGTTTTAATATAAATAGAAAGTGTCAAAAAGCGTTATATTGCGGAATAAAAGGCAATTATTCGGCATAAAAAGAGCCTAAGGGCGACATCAAGTTTTATTCAACTTCAATTTTTTCACAATTTTCTCTTCCTCGTAAAAATCAACTCTGATCCCAAAGTTTTATAGAAGTGAGACCGGTGAATTTATGGTTACTTTTTCACTTGATCTTTTTTTACATAGTTTTTTTTAACTTTAATTTATTTTTTGAATCTGAACAAACTTTAAGAATTTTAGTTTTGACACTAATGTTACATGGCAGATATGGTGTCAAGTTTTCCTGAACAATTTTGGGAAGTTGAAAAAATGAGAACTGGCTGGCATGACACGTGGGGGAAATTTATTTCCTAATTCGTTTTGACGTTTTCCAATTGCATATTAGGAATTCACGTGGAAACATATCTGAGCTGTCAAAAAAGTATTGAGGTGAATTAATTTAACGACAAATATAATATGTCTCTTCTCATTACGCCATTTTATTTTCCCATTTTCTCCCTTTTTGAGTGAAAAATTACGCCCGAGGTGTAAAATATGTGTGCATTATTTAGGTTCCGATTAGTTTTTGCGCTTGTCAATTTTTGACCTGTCAATTAGCATTAAAATCAATCATCATTTCCCGCAGTTCACTTTATTCCTGAATATAAAATAAATCAGTAACTTAATATTTATCCTGCCATTACTATTTTACTCATCAGTTTGTAAAAAAGTGAAATTCGATACTATTATATATGCTTATAATCTCCACAGACAGCCCCCCCCCCTTAAAAAGCAGCGAATGAAAAGCAGGGCTGGCCGATCTATCGCCGTAAAAATCATATCACAGTCATAAAAACTGAGACAATAAAGCTCGACATCAAAAAATAGTAATCCGATTTATGAATTAATCATCATATCTTTCTTGCATCGGAGATCAATAAAAGCACAAGTTGTACAAAAACAATAAAAAAGACGATAAAATTTAATGGCATTAATTCATAGAGGCAACATAGAGAACAGTGTAACAATTCTTAAAATGTCATTTTTGGAATAAAATTGACGTTACAAACATTTACGTAATTTCAGAGGGAAGTTTGTGCAGACACCGTCTCGCTAAGAAAATATTTAGAGACAAAGTTGGAATTCAAATTACTTTGAAAAAAATTTCCCGGAAACAAAATTATCAAAATATCGATGTGTTGACTCTATAACTTCATTACAGATTCAATGCCTCGTAATTTTTGGTTTCGTAGAAAAACAAAAAAGTATATCTTGGTAATATTTCCTCTAGTTCAAGATTTCAACCGCCTGTTTTTCTACAATAAATACATTTTTCTTGTCTTAAATGAGTTTTTATGTACCATCACAATTGACGCAATTATCGCAAATTTCCCATGCTTTTTTGATTTTTATCAATTTATACGTATTTTGAACCTTTCATTATTTTTTCACATTCTTCTTATTCACATTGGTATGAATACATTTATGATCATTTATACAAACAAGACTGCTCGTATCAGGGCGAAGCCCTGAATGTTCCGACTGCCTTTTAAGGTTTATGGAGCAGTAATAACTTTAAAAAATTAAATGAAATAAAATAAATTGAAAATTTTTTTTCCAAAATTTGAAATTTTTTAAATGAAACTCATCCCCCACACGCCATATAAACTACAAAAGGATAGATTTCGTTCCTTGTAACAAATCAAAATTGGCAAATAAGCTTCGTTCAACCAATTTGGAAGAATTTCTAAGACGGATTCAATCTCCGCTTACGCGTTAATAGCTCGAATTATATCGCGCGTTAATTGTCCCAAATTGGTCAATGGCAATCTTTAAACCCTCATAACTTTACGAAAAATGATCACAGGTGAAATATTTTTTCAAATTTAAGCTCAGGACAACAATACCTTTTGAATGATATAAAAAAATTCCGTCAAAAATGGCTAGTTAAAAAGTCGAAATTTGTCTGAAGAAAAAAAAACCCACCCGAGCACAAATATTCCGTTACTTTCGTATCGAAAGTCGGAACAAAAAGTTGAATCAGAAAAAGCTAAAAGTTTTAGACTTGATATGTTTTAAGTACATACCTTGCAAAATACCAATGGCTTAAATCTCACAAAAACTTTGCAACGATTGTTTCAAGTTAATCAAAATCAAAATTGACACTCTGTTCAATTTTCATCTACAAAAAAATCTACACCGGTTTCAGTCCACACTGAGATTTGTTCTCGAAAACTTTCAGGCATTGATAGAGCTCTTATACGACATATCACTTGACCTCATCTGACCTTTAATTTTGGTGCCTGTTTTTGCCTTGATTCTACTAGAAACTGAGAAGATTATTTTCAAAAAATAAAAAATTGAGTGTATTTTTATGGGTAAAAAGATATTGAAGTCAAATGATACAGGTTTTTGTGAAAAAGAGCTCTGTAACAAATAACTCTGAAAAAAAAATCAAATGTATTCCTTGACAAATAATCGAACTGACCAAACATCTCGATGTTGGCAGCTAGCACAAAAAATAAATGAAACTTTTTCAAACCAATCACACTCCAAATCAAGAAAAATTTAAGAAGAAGCAGTTTTTCAACTTTTTCTGAAAAAGTATCGACAAAAATATATAATATTTAACTTTTTAAAAGAAAGCTACGTTTTTCACAAACTGTTTGAGACAAATGGTTGATTGCTTCAAGAAAATCAGCTAGTGGATTAGAGGGTGATAAATTATTGTGATTTTTTTTCGCTTTCAGACAAAAAAGATATCAAGAAAATAAACAAAAACCAGAGGCCGACCAACAAACTCAATTCTCATAGCAAATTACTGGCATTTTTCAAGCAATTTGTTTCATTTCAATGGGCTGTTTTCAATACAAGTGTTTTATGAATCCTCACACAGTTACCAAATGTTTGGGTTATTTTTTTGTAATAGGCAGCTAAAAACTTGCCGAATTCTGATGGTATATTTCATAAGGTTGGAAATTGTTAATTTACGGATGTTTTTGCGGTTTATCGAAATTTCACAGCATTTTGTTCTAAACAAGCTTCTATAGTGCTGATTTAAAATAATTTTTTGGTTTAAATTGTCAAAAATGATTTTAATAAAAAATCTTTGTAATGTTTGCCACTTGTTTGTAATGTTTGCCACTTACAGTAAAATTCGTTTTGCCAAATTTCAAACCAAAGTAACATCATTAAAACGGATCAAATATTTTTTATGAAATACTCTGCCAAAATATTCAGATTGTATCAAATATTCTGTCAAACATTGTTGAAATTTCGAAATTTTTCTGGAGCACAAATTTTCTTTAAGACCGGAACAAAAACGTTCTCTATTATTCAATCTCTCATTCTCTGAAGCATACAGTTTTGCTCTCTTGATGATAGCAGATTAACTGAAAAACAGCTCCACTATTTTCTCTAAATACTGATATCAATTTATGCTTCAGTGGAGGAGTGAGGAAAGGCTTTGGACTCAAAAATAGAAGTTTTTGATGATAAACAAAAATTGTCAATAAAATTTTGCTTTTAGCTTGAAAATTGGTCGCTACTCGCTCAACAACTGAGTGCTCTTGTTGAAATCTGGTTTCAAAAATATAAATAAATATCACTAGGATGTTTGGTTTTACATCTTCAGAATTAAACTGAGCTAAATCCGACTTTGATATACTTTTTTCGTGAAACCTTGGGATCCATAATGAAATTGTTTCTTTGATTTTCGATGAAGTTGGTTCAATATTGTATTTAAAGTGGAGCGTGTGTCTTTGCTATTAGGTTATGGAATATGTTATTTTTAGTTATGCTAATGCGTACCATTGAGACTGTGAATTGATGGAAAGGATGAAATTTTTTTGACAGTGAAATAATCTTTTTTAGTGAAATGCATTCTGGGAGGTATTAACTGCTTATCAAAGCTGTCAGATTGAATATTAAAATTAATGGCAATGGGATTCGATTCATTATTCCTTCCAATGCAACCCCCCAATCTAGTTTATCATACAAATTACGCTTTTACAATTACATTTCAAATACTCCTTTCTGATAAAAACAAAGAAGACGAATTAAAAGAAGACAGAAAAAATGAATAACTAATCCATTTTCAGTAAAGTCTTCTTTATAACTCAACAATACAATTTTACTTTTCAATCGGAGTTTTTACCCCTTTCTCTGAAAAAAATCAAGAACTGAAAAAATACGACCAGGTCACATCGCAAAAACAAGATTTAATTTTGCTGAAAATTGGGTTTTGGAAATTTTCGAATCATTAAACGACAACAATGAGTACAATCACTTTTCGTAAAAAAAAATTATACTGCAAAAGGATGGAAAGCACACTGCTGATGAAAAAGTGTTGGAATATTTCATTTCATTGAATTTCAGAAACACAAATAGTTCGCGGCCATAAAATATCAAAGAAGGAAAATTAGGTCACCCTAAATTTAGTTTACATATTGTTTGTTGTTTATCAGAGCCGCTGAGTTGAGTTCTGCTGGTTTAAATTGAGCGTATCTAAAATTAATTATTATACTAGGGCTTTTTCCATCTTTAATATTTTCTCTGTAATGTATCTCTAAGCTGGGATTGGGTTTTGTGATAAAATAATGATATATTTACATGTATTTCTCTGGTTTTTCAGAAATTTAATCAGAATAGCCTTAAGGAAATAAAATTTTGTTCGACTTTAAAGAAGCCGGTCTTTTTCTAGCGTATAATTTCATTTTTGATGAGGTATAAAATTTTGATGAAAAACCTTTTGATCTTTCAGCTGCGCGATGGGTGAAATCCTGATTAATTCTTGCTCGCCCAAATTTATTTGAAATAATAATTTTCTACCCCTTTTATGATTCCGACTGCCGCCTCAATGCAACCTCCCCCAACCTCCCCCGCCCGATTGAAACACTAATTTGTGCTTTCCAAGTCGCAATTCCACCCAAGGGTAGAGTCAAAAACATTTAACCCAAAATTGAATTACTTTCAAATCAAAGATGTATGGATCATGCATCGTATCTTTGTGATTTAGATATTTAGCACTGATAATTTGACCTGTTAGCATAAATCACCAGCTTACTTTGATAACGACTTACTTAGATAGCAATTTAATTTAAAAACTTACAGTCATTTTTATCGTAGCCCCTCCAGTAAAGTAAAAAAAAGTAGTCTCACCAAATTATGATCTTTTTTTTTATATTTTGGAGGTCTATCATCTTTTTCTAAACTAGTCATTTTCACGAAAAGACTCTAAAATTGTTAAATCTTTCATCTCTCAGTTTTGGAAAAGGCTATCAAATGAAGTAATTGTTCCGGCCACTGAAAATGGGTAGGAATTTTGTCTTCGGGTTTTTTGTATTTTTTTCGCAAAATCAGGTACCTCAAATAAATCATCAGAATGGGTTGAGTGATGTATCATATTATAGCTCTCTCTCTCTCTCTGTCTGATTTATTAATTTTCAAAAAAAAAAATTAATGTTGAGAAAAACCAGTTTGAAATTTTTTTGGTCGAATTCGAGCAAGTAAAAGCGAGAGTAACATTTAATGTTTTTATATGAAATTTGGTTATTCAAGAAAATAACTCAGTTTTACGAAAGGAAAACAAGTTAATGAAGGAAAACAAATTAATGCTTCGCAGGCATTTAAAAAAATGAAAAATGGAAGACAACTGCCGTTTTAATTGTCTGATCGTTTTTTAGGAACTCTCACCACGCCACGCACACAAAATACGACCTTCTAAAAACGAAATTAAAAAAAAGGTAAAAAAATTTTCATAAGACTTTTTATAAATAACTGTCGGAATATTCTGGGTTACTTGCACAGCAAGCGGCTACTTCTATTAAAATGAAATTATTTTGCGTTTTTAATAGCAATATATTTATGGGAAGTTGATTGAAGCGTTGTTAAAAGCAACATTTTTATGGGAAGTTGACGTTTGTGTTCATATGTGTGATTTGCGTGCGAGTAGTTGGGGTCAAAAGGTCAAACAATCACTGACCTCCACGGATGGGTATTTGGCCTTGTGTCGCTGGAAGTGGACTTTGAGGTTGCCCTTGGTGGTGAATCGGTTGCCACAGATGTTGCACTTGAAAGGACGCTCCCCCGTGTGTGATCGCACGTGGATCTGAAGTGCACTGTCACTGCCAAATGGCTGAAACAATCAAAGCATGAATCATAGATGAAATTAACTCGGGTCAGAACTAATTATTTAAGTTCAATAGGTTTTCTGAATCGAAATTGATTTCAAGACAAATAAAAATTGTATCATTTTGTCATAACTTCTAAAAATTCGAACTTTAATTAAACTTCAATTGGTTGTCTTAAGGAAAAAATCTTCTATACGATACAGGATTAGATTGTAAATGAAAACACAATTCGGCTTTTTGTTTCCTTTTTTAGTTCAGGTTCTACAACGTCGCGGGTCCATGACTAGACTCTAGACTTAGCCTCAAACTGTATTGCGAGAAATAGAAAACAGATTTTAAAAAGAAATTATTTAAAAATCAGGCTGAAAACTGACCTTTTTGCAAAACTTGCAGCGATGTCTGTATGAATTATGACTGTCTCCATTGCTCACAGTTGGCAAATTTTTCACGTTCTTCGTGTCAATCGGCGATCTTTCAGACTCGGCTTTGATCAACTTCGGCATGATCAAATCCGACGCTGGATGACTCATATCAGAACTCATATGCGCCTTTCGTTTCAACAGGGGAAAACTTGCCATTCCAGTATTGATTCCCAAATCCCAAGGTTGCGGTTTGAAACCAGAGTTCAAAAATGAACCGGTTGGGTTATGGTTGGTAATGACTGGACTTTGGCCTATGCCCAAAGTCAGTGGGTAGTTTGGAGGTAAACTATTCGTTGAGCCCAGCAAGTTTGACAAGAATTGAGATGATAAATTTGGGGAAGACTGCGGATCATTTTTGAAAGCAAGCGGCGACGTCTGGTGGTTGTTTGTGGCTGAGATTTGTGTGGGGATTTTGAGACTGTTGTTGTTATTGTTGTTGGTGGGTGAGTGCTTGTTGATCAGCGAATTGACCGACAGGGGGTTTAAGTTTTGGTGCATTCCGAGCATGTTGGAGAACGATGAGTATTGCTGAAACAAAAAATTTTGCGTGAAAATTTTTTTTCTCGAAAAATAACGACCCATGGATTTCAATAATTTAGAAAGACGCTCTTGAATGAACCAAAAAATTGAATTTTGAGTAGCAGAATTATTGACTTACATTTTGAAGTAGAAGACCTGAATAAGGGTGCAACAAGGCGCCTGCGCCTCCTCCATTGGTATTTTGACCCGGTTGGAACAACCCGTTGCCAGCTGTATTATTCGAGGATGCCATTGCGAGTTGCAGAAACACACTTTGCAGGTATTGCGTCACTTGTTGAACTTGACGTTGCTGCTCTTGTTGCATTTGTGAGTTCTGCAGGCTCGCATACGCATTCAGGCTAGCATTAGTTGATGTTACATCTTGCACGCTTGATAGGTAACTTTGCAGATACTTTTCGGTCAGTAGTTTTTGAGTCGCAGCATCAATTCCCAAACTTTGAAGGTTCGGATTCAGAGCCGAAGCCGGAATGTTGTCGGCCTGTCGCGTCTCAATTTTCACTTCCGACACGAACTCGGCATTAGGTGGTGTCATTTTTACTCTAGACTGTTCTTCGTGAAGTTGCTCAGCATTCAGATCTGAGGACCCATTTTGTTCACTCCAGTCATCTGACAGGTGTCTTTGAACTCCAGGAGTCTTTGAGTGTTGGTTAAAATAGTCGTTTTGAGGTTGTGAGTCACTTACGCTCGACGGAATCTCCATTTTTGACGAATCTGAACAAGTTTTATCTTTGTTTGAATAAATTTTAGTTTTTTCTTTAAACTCGTGCAAAAAATGATAAATATGAAAATTAATATTTAATTTGGAAAATATGATTTTCTCGGATCAGAAGTCAGAAGTTATTACTAGGGAAGATTATTTACACCGGAGCGAGTTTGAAATGCAGTCGCGGCGAGAGAATTACTGGAGTAGTGCTGAAATATAATTTGCATGGAAAGCAGTTTACTTTTATGGAAATAAAAAGATGTCAGGTTATTGCTGGGTTTATAAACCAGGCGGGTAGGGGGTAGGATGAAGAGGTGGCGATGGTGGTGGGGGGAGGGGGTTGGGTTTATAAGTTATTACTGACATATAACGGCGGAATTGATTAGCATGTGCTCAAGTTTGGCCACACTTGATTTGCGATATTTTGTATTTATGATTGAATTATTAAAATTTCAAGGTCTTCGGGGACTAATCGGAGGTCGAAATTCTTCCATTGATTGTTTTGTTGATGAGTGGCATTTATTATATTTATAACCTCCCCGTTTATTATCGAATTCAATTCCAGTCCCATAACTCATTTTCGCTCTTCTCTAATCCCCCCTCTCTCCTCGAACAAGTCCTTTCTAAATGCTCGACCTAATTGAGGGCTTAAAATGCACCGAAATAATCAACAATCCTGCACTGCCTGATTGTCGTCACGCCTCAATGGAGAAGAGAAAAGAAAAGAAGCGGCAATGGCCATTTTCTGCCACCAAATAACCAACCAACTCCGAATTACTCCAAGTCAAGTGGATGGCCAACGCCAACCAACGCCTAACAGTTATCAAAATAAAAAGTATATTATTTTAGTTCTATTTATTTTTGATAAAAACAGAAAAACATTAACAATTGGAAAGAAAACTGCAGATGTCTATGAGCCAAACTAACTTAATTAGAACCGTACCATTCATTACATCATGCAAATTTACCCGCGACTTCAATTGTTCAAAACCCCAGTATTTCTAAACCATGAATTCGACAACTTTTTAATTAACCCAGTATTTCTTATTTCGGAATAATTAAAATAAGTTCAACTCAAATTATCATAGCACTGTGTTGGGTGAATAAAGGTACAACATCTAAAAGTGTAGGTAAGAAAGGCCAGGTTGAAAAATTCAATAAGGCGGAATTGAGTTGATACGATTCATTTATTATCTTGTAAATATACGCAGAAAAGATTATGAATTTTTGTTTATAGCTGCGCAACTAAATTCTAATGCGCCCCGCGGCAGCTCAAAATTTTCCAGAGATATGATAAAATATATATATTATGCGAGGAACAAATACTTGAAAATATTGCATTTTTGCGATCGATATATTAAAATCGATACTGTGAAATTCAAGCAGGAAAACATTTGCGAAAATTAAATAAAATCGATAAAAATTTACATAAGTTTACTCACCGAGGCTTTGTGGCTAATGAATCACATTTATGTTTATTATATTTTTACAACTGCAAACCTGTTGAACAAATTAACAGGGCACTCTGAGATATTATTTATTAGGAATAATAAAATGAAATAAAAGTTAATGGTCGTTTTAATTTAAGTATCAGCCACTATGTTTGTGCAATAAAGGTGTGATTTATACCAGTTTTTATTGTCGAAAATTTGCCAAATGGCGTAGAAGGCTTCTTGTGAAAAGGTATGAAAATAATAACTAATTCATAATTTCACAGCAGTTTTATGGTCGGGGTTGACGGCTCGTGACAAAATAGTTGCCTTTTATTCATTTATCATTCTTTGTTCTTTCATTCACCAAAATAAGTGATCTGAACAAAAACAAAAAACAAAAAAAAACTGAGGATCAAACAAAAATTACCAGATATTATTTTGCATAAATAGCCGTAATGTATACAATCAAATATGGAGACTTGATTGATTTGGAATATTCTCGTCAGTTTTCTGCTTTCAAGTTGTTTTAAATTTTTTTCGACTTTGTGAAATAGCGCCTCGGAAAAGAAACACTTTTTGATGTGATAATTCAGTTATCGCGTTTTATGACTGTAAGTTATGATATTTGCAGAGGCCATTAAATTTTATATTATATCATATTGAAATGACCAGCAGATCAAAAAAGGCTTTGTTTAAATTTCCATTTATTCCAGTCTCGTTTTCTCTCGCCTCGTTTGCTTGTGACCCAAAATACACAAATGAGAGCCCTCACTTTAGCCCCGTTTATTTAGCACAACTCACAAATTTGATTGCTGCTAAATTAATAGGGATAACATCTAACGGCAGAGATATACGAATGGTAGAATTTATGACCAAAGTTGGCCGACAATAATTTCGAAACTGGTATCATAATAAAAATTGAAATTTAATTTGACTCTTAAGGGTCATACCATCGCAAATTTGACTCCGATACATGCAAAAAAAAATAAAGGCAGAAAAAATGAGAAAAAAACTTCTATTCGCAAATTTATTCAATTGGAAAAAATCGTTTGTTAAAAGCCTCTTTCAAATGTCGTCGAGTTTGAAGAAACTTACATAAACCATATGAAGATAAATTGGACAACTTCTGACCAAAATTGAAATCATTTATGAGAAAATAGCAAAGTTGAAATTAGTTGGCAAACTTACCAAGTGGCTGCCGAGTTATTGTAAATTTTGAAAGTAACCATAACTTGTCAGGCAGTCATAAATTATAAATTTATTTGAACACTAACTTGGACTTAATTCATACACAAGATTATATTTTCATAACAGTTTGTTTAGTTTGGTCTCCTTTGAAGAGATCTTTGAGTTTTTCACTTGAATCGACTTCTCGGACTTTTGATGTGGCGCCGAACTAAATCGACCATAAAAATACTCTTTTAAAATTTAACTTCCACAGAGGCTTACACAAGTTAAGAATAATTGAGGTATTCATCATGAATATTTAAATATTTGGATTAAATTTCCTGATCTGAGAACGGAAAGTTTCCTAGAACTGTGAACTGTGACTCACACAATCAAACTTTATTTAATACAAGGATAGCCGGTTGCTGTGCGAGTGGCACTGAATGTTCCGACCCCATTCTCTTCAAGTTAGTGTTTTTTGCACGTCTTGTGATGTAGAGCTATATAAACGCGTACAAATTCAGTGAAATTGGCATAAATGACTACAATTGTCTTCAAAAACTAAAAATTGAAGATGGAAAATATTGTTCAAAAATTTTTTCTCTTTCATTGTTTGCACTAATAGTATTTTTGGAACATTTTTTTTTGCCAGAGAAGCGCTAAATAAGGCTTCCAAAACTAAAAAATCTAATGAAGAAATAGCCTAAATTGGTAATTTTTATACATAAAGAACGTTACTCGATCGCGTTACTCGCTCTGAAACAGACCAAAAAATTCAAAAGTTTCAAACCGGTTTTTCTTGACCATAGGATTGTTTTGGCAATTTTAGAATGTCGTTCGAATCATGATGGAAAGGGCTTCAATATGATATATCACTCAACCCAATCCGATGACATTTTGTTATACCTGACTTTGTGTGGAAAAAACTAAAAAAAAACCTAAAACGCCTGTCTACAAAGTTTTTCCCAGTTTCAATGGTCGCAACAAGAACTAACTGAACGTTTCTGTACAGAATCTGAATGTTCCGGATAGAACCGGGTTATTGTCAACAAAAAACCTTGAAAACTTGAACCAAGCTACTCGCTGGAAAAAAAATTCTTATAGCAAGCAGCGCATCTTACAGCTTTGCACAGATTGATCCGAGAACCATTTTTAAGAGGGATCAACTTACTAAAAAATCGTTTTCATTGTGGTTCTTTGAGTTTGATCATTTTATTAGAACATCATTTTCCAAACATTTAAATAGATGACCTTTGATGCTATTCCTTAAAGTATCCTTTATCTGGTAGATTTATAAACATTCGCTTTTCCATCTAATCTCCCATAAATTCAGCCGCATAATATTTATATGACACCAAAATACAATATATACTCATGTGCGCTTATAAACTTGAAAGGGCGAATTTATTCATCACCTTTGATGACAAATTGATTTATGGAAAATCGCTCGGTTTGAAGTGAACAAAATATGCGCACATGAAATTTCATAATTTCAAGTAGAGTAATCAAGTAAAAAAATAAATCCTTCACTACAACCTGATACTTTCGCTTTTAACTTTTTCTCTTATAATTGATTTTTATCAAAAGCAGCTCTGCTTTTGACGAAAAAATGACATAATTATTTTGCCAAACTTAGAACTATATTCATAAACTTTGGAAAAAGTGATCCTTTTTTTTTACAAAAATTGGGACATCCATTTGATTTATTGTGTTCTTTGAAGTGTGTAAGATGTCCGCAGAAAAAAAAACTCCAACTTTTTTGAAAGGCGTTTTAGTTCAAAAAATCGCCCTATAAACTGAATGAAACTATATCTTACCTTGTTGAATATTTTGTTGACTTGTGGGTAATTTTTACAAATTGATTTTTTTTTTGCTGATTGAAATGTGATATCAGTTGACTTGGTTAAGTTTTAGTCAAGTTATTTCTTTATGAGTACCAATTCATAGGCCTTTGTTCCGACTGTTCAATGGTCGGAGTCGAAGCCACCGAAGCGAAGTGAACAAACCATAACCACTTATCACTACACAATAGTTATGATGACGACTAAGACACGGTCAGGATTTTTAGGGATAATATATCTTGTAATAATAATAGCGACCAAAATTATAATTGCGTCGAGCATATGTAGTGACGGGCCATTTTATGAGCCGAGGCGATACTTTAATTTCCGCAAGCATATCGCATCAAATCTATTTGCCCAAAAACCTAAAAATTGAGTTTGAAATTTTTTTTTAATTTTCCCCCAAAAATTTTTGCTTCTTATCTTTTGATCAGTCGAAAGATCTGAGAGGATATTAGCGAAATTGAAAAGTTCTTATACTCAAAGCAGCATTAAGGCAATTGAGTGGTTTTATGGCTGATATGGCGTATGATTTCTAGTCTGGTGCAGAAAATGATGAAAAGGAAAAGGAAAGAAGATAAATGCCAGAGCCTGTCAAAAACAGCACAAATTTATATTTTATTATTACTTCAAACATCAATACAATATGATTTAATGGCTCAGTGTCGTATTAATATACAAACCCATCATCAGATTAAAATTTTGCAATATACTTGATCAGGTCAATATGAGATGAGAAAAAAAGCTTATTGAAAAAATCATTTATATGATTTTTGGAAAAACGGAAGCTTCAGCTTAATTGAAGTTTCATTGACACTTTCTTAAAGCCTGAAACTATGGATTTTTCTATTGCGTCGAAAGTTTTTTTCAATCTAGTTTTGCCTTATGCCAACCCCCTCAAATCATGGCCTCTCCCCTGTATATGGCACAGTATATTATTCCATAATAACAATGATATCAACATGTGTCTAGCCGGTCAGTTTCTCCACTTGGGATGGGATCAATTAAAAACTAACAGCGCTCTTCCCTTGAAGTCTGACCCCGCCACATTTATGACCTAAATGGCTCTAATCAAAATCGGAAATATTGTTCACAACATCCGGGTAAGTATAACTTAGTCGCACTTCGTTCACATTTTAGTGTCAATACTTTATATTTGTGCATTGTAGAAATGTTTGACTACTGGCTGCGACTGGCTGAAGTTGAGATTGGTGTATTAATTTCGAACCCACTTAATTTTATTACTACAGGCAGCATGGAGTAGATCTGAAATATACACCTTATGGGCACACATAAAACGGCCATGGAATATTTAGATATAATTCAACATCACAAAATGAGGTCAGGCTATATGGCTTTAATGGGGTGCCATTACAAATAGGTGTTTTCTTTACTTACGGCCGATTTTTATTAAACGGCCGTAATAAACCAAACCCCCCTTTTGGGCAATAAAACAATAACTAAATATTGAACCTTTCATGTAGTTTGGTTGGTACACACACAATTGCCCCATATTATATCTATGTATGACTAGAACTATTGGTGTTAAATTCAGAATAACTGTTATTGCTGTTATCAATCAATGCCTGGCGCGAAAGTGTCGTAAAAGCAATCTCGCCTTCAGAAACGGATCAATAAAATAAAGTCAATTATATTTATTAAATTGCTTTCTTCAAATATTACATCCAACACTAATGGTCGGCAGGTTTAATAGTAATAGTTAGTCAATACAATAAAACGGCAGAACAAACTACAATCCGCTATTTTCATATTTAATATCAAACCTTTGACAATTGGGTTCAAACATTAGACGGATGAAACTTATCGCTGCTAATTATTAATTAAACAATAGATTAGTCTTTGTTGCACCAGAAAAGGTGTTTGAATGACCTGCTTTGCCCGGAGTAGAAATTTAGAAATCAAAATTTTGATCCTTTTTTTGGGTCACCAGACAAATGGGGTGACGAAAAGTATATAATGTTTCACAACTAGTGCAGATTATGAGAATGCATTAGAAACTGCAGACAAACAATTACAAGATTTGAAGGAAAGTGGTTACAAAATGTAATTACCTTTTTTCCTTTAATTTTTTTTTTCATTGAATAGCAAAGGGATAGCTATCACCTGGAAAAAAATCAACTTTTTTACATTTAAAAATTCATATCAAGTTTAAATTTATAGTTCGAACAAGGAAAAAGATTAAAAATACAGTATCCTCTAAGCTATTAAAAATACCTGTAAGGTCTTGATAAAACATTAATTTTTCATCCCGGGCTGGAATTTTTTTTGAAGAAATTTTATTATTGCCAACATGAAGCGCAAGCTCGCGGCGTTTTTGTGAATATCAAATTCAAAAGATAGTTTTCTCCCTTTTTGATATAAACAAGCGGCTTCTTTGTAATTTTTATGAAATTATTCAACAAAGATCTTTTAAACTACAGCAAATTCTGCTTTTTCCTAAAATTTTAATGAAGCCGCAAGCATATCTAAGATAAACGACACCAGTTTAATTTATGAGCGCCCATAAACACCTGAATTTTATCCAAAAAGAATCGAATCACTTTTTAAAATTCTTTAAATCAGTGCTATAATTGAACACGGTAAATGAAAAATGAGTATTTCACAAATATGTAATTGAGAGTAAAAATTGATTAATAGATATTCGAATGGAAGCAGGCTTCTCGAATATTTCCAATTTAGTATTTTTCATCAGCGATGATCATCAAAAATGTATTGACGGAATTGAATTCATTCACTAAATTTACCCATTTTTCGGTCTTCAACCCAGTTCATTCAATCCGTCAATGTTTTTGTTCACGGTTTGTGGGAAAAATTAATGGATATTCTAGTATATTTCCGCTTCAAGGAGACTTTAACTCACTAGCAACTTCCGCTTTAAATATAAAAATGATGGAAATATTAAAGAGAAAACAGTGGAAATGGAACCTATGAAATTTGCTCAAAACACCTTTCTTTGCCTTTCCTTTCATCCATTCTCTTTCAAGTTCATTTTAAACCTCCCCCACCCCCCAATCCGAGTGTAGCCTCTAGTCAATTTAGTTAAATTTGGCCCTTGACAGGTATGGCTGACTGACTACAGTACGGGCGACCAAAAAAGGCAAAACAGTTGCGGAAGGATTCACCACCGCCCTCCCATTTGTGGGAACAAAATATAGCCTGCTCTTTTTTAGGATGGAGGTTAAGATTTAAGATCTCTGATGTCAAACTAAAATAACTTATCAAAATTAGTTCAAATTTTGATGATGTTGTTGTAAAATGATTATAGAAATTTCATGTTGATTGAACTTTTATTGGATAATTAGCCGTTTTTAAGTTTCTTATATGCTTTCTACAGCTGCAAAATGTTCATTGAAAAAATGTGTTTTTGGGCATTGCTTTCATTTGCTAAAAACAAGAGGGTTGGTTGATCTAAAGCACAGAAAACAAATATTAATTAAACTCACCCGGGTTGAGGTTTTCAATTTATGTTTTGACCGAATCGACTAAAAACTTGTACGTTTTGACCGTCTCAAAACAAGTTCCATATGTTTTAACCGTCTCAAAGCAAATTATTTATATTTCGACAGTATTTGATTGAAAAAAAAATGTTGGCTGAGAAAAGTATGAAACTCCAACCGTGTTTGACCGAGAAAAAAAAAACAGTTCAATTTTCGACCGTAAACAATGAGAATAAGTGAAGTTTCTGCGATTTGCAGATGGTTTGTGAGAACCTGGCATGTCTATCATTAGTTCATTTCTATTTTTTCTCACTTTCCAGGCCAAGCAATTTTGTTGAGCGAAGCATATTTTTTCGAAGCTGTTTCTTCGAGTCTAGAACTTTCACGTGTTACCACTATTGCAGCCAAAATTGTTCGGGGTGTGCTAGACTTGCAGCTAGAAATCAGGTGAGAGCTCGTCTTCACATGCTATCATTGCCATGGCAGGTGATCTAATACACTTTTTGAGGATCTTAAAGTGAGCGGATTACCTTTATGTTAAATGTTTTACTTTGAGATCGACTACTGTATGTTAAATGTTTCGACCTCTCAAATTTATGCTTTCACCATGATGATGAGTATGAAGCCTTCTCGAACAGGGTTTTTTGGTCGAACACTAACATGTGCTTGATCCGACTCGGTTCAAACATAACTCGCAAGGAAGCATCGTCATCGTTCCGGGTGATTGATTGAGTCTTCTATTTTTTAGCATTGACTTTCCATAGTCATAAATGAGGAAACCTTTAAGTATCAATTTTCTAGCATTAAAGTTTTTCGCATATTTAAAAGAAATGATGGAAATGAGAATACCTTCATAAAATTGAAAAATTAGCCACGAAATTTTCAAACATTCAGTTATATTTCAGCAGCAGAAATTTTTGTTCAGTTAGAGACTGAAATTTAGCAATGATAAGCGATAAATCCTCAGCTCGAGCCCAAATAAGATCAACAGAGTGAACATTGGGGCTTCATGTGAACACATATGAGGACAAATTAGAACGAAAAACGAGTTTGACTTGATACAATTCTTGGATGAGCCAACCTTCCAGCGATAAGGCTCCAAGTTCAGCTTACGACTGAAAGCTATTTGAGTGCATTTTAAAGAAACGTGTTTTAGAATAATGATAAATTAATGGAAAAAATCGAAGCAAAAATAGTTGTGGTAACAAAGCAGAATATTTCGCCCATTAAAAAAATGCACGAAGTTTTCAACGATTGAAAACTAATCAAAAATGATTTTTGCTCTCAGAATCATAATGTTTTCTTAAAATGTTTTTTGGTAACTGGAGTTTTTTTTAAATAACTATTAAAGTAGAGAGCGGTGTAGCTTGAAAGTATAGAGCTGTTGACAAATTAAGCTTAAAGGGACTTTTATTGTTTTTTCTCTGGCGTTAAATTAGTCTGAAAAAAACTTCGAATGTGAAGCCCTGCTGGAAGAGTTTTCATATGAGGGCATACATCCAATTTTCGAGGCAAAATGCTTTTCATTCTCAGTTGGATGAGCCATTTCAGTTCAAAATTTGGCAAAAGGAGCAACGCTAAGCTGAAAATAGTTTCTGCTTCAAGTTCTGCAATAGTTCATGTTGCAGAGGCAGCACAAAACTTCTAAATAACAACACCATTTTTTTTACCTTAGGTTACTATGGAAAAGCGCGACAAGAGATTTAAAATGAACAAATTTGCCACATCCTCGTGTGATTTCTTAAGATTGTTCGAGTTAGAACATACCGGTTGAAGTGAAAAAAATTCAGCAATTAGAATTTTAGACTCTTACCATTTATAAGTTGTTCATCTGGATGGTGACCATGGGCATCATCCCCTTCGTCGCTCGGCCCCATGACGCCATATCCAGGAGCCGCATCTTCGCCATCACCATTGTCCAATGTTGCACGGGACTCTGGACTCCCAACATCTTCAGACTCGTCTTCCATGATTTCCTCTGGCTCTTCCTGATCCAGAAATATATCCGACTGACTGTTTAAGGAGCTCTGCATTGCTTGTTGTGAAAAAGTTAGGTGATCAACGTTCAGAAGAAAAATTCGAAAGATTTCCGCTAATTCAATTGCTTGTGAGATATTAATGAAAAGTTAGTGGATTGTTCATAACAGCTTTGGTAGATAGCCACTACTTGTTAGCTGAAAGAATTGGTAATTGTGTTTGATTGAGAATTTTTAGGTTGATTTTACCTAGCAATCTGTTCTGTGTTAGTTAAGAATTGGAATAAAGTTTGGATAGGGAAATAATCACTAAATAGTGTTTTCTAACTGAATTGAAATTTGCCAATAAAATTCTTGCTTTTATTCTTTTTATTTCTCCATAGAGATGTTTCCTGATTGTTATGTAATGTCTTATATAATTGTCCCCAAATCACTTGGACCGGTTAAAGCAATCAACGTCTCTCAATTCTGATTGGACAAATAGCAAAATCCTACAAATGCCTTCAAATGTGTTCAAGTATATACTTCTCAAGAAAGGTATTTTTTAGATCCAAAATGAATCTTCTTTTTCCATTTAAACTTTAAATACTGCCAAAAATGGATTCTGATTGATACAGTTGACTTTAAATTGTTGGCTACTGGGTTTTTCCAACACTGCTCATGTATTTCTTAGACCTCTCTAAGATTGCTATCAAATTACTTTCATTTATTAAAAACCAGATATCAATATGGAAAATGTCAACAAAAAGGTGTAAAATTAATGAGAAATAAAATTAAATATTTGTTTTCCAAATGAAAATTTATTTACTTACATGGGAGAGCTCAATTTCCAGGATATTGAAGTATAATGTAGTGTATCCGGAACAAAAAATATTACATTTCTATCAATAAATCTCGAAACAACCGAATTAAATGCGAATTGAAATAAAAATTGCACCTAACGATGGCTTTTTTTTATCCATAAGAAATCGTCAAACTCGGGTTTTTAAAAAGCCAAACTCGGGTTTTTAAAAATTTCAAAGGAGTTAGCAACCAGAGAAACTGGTTCCTGTGCAAGTATGACAGATTTTTTCGACAACAAGCATTTATATAAAAAACTAATATAAAATAATTTTTGTTTTTCATTCATTTCAGAAGTTTTATGCCGTTTTCTTGAGCTACAGAAAGAGCTTGAAATTTAAATCGAAAACAGATAATAATAGTTTTAGTATGATTAAATCACTCTAAAATGAATAAGAGACGAATCTATGAAAACTTTTGAAAAGTTTGAAATTAATCTCTCAGCCAAAAATTGGTTATATTCAGAATGCTTTTTTGACACAAAGAAAACATTTTAATTCGGTTTTGAAATCCAAATCAGGACTGAAAAGGTTTCATTTTAATGTCACTCGACCCCATTTGACGCTATTTTGCTGTATCTCAATTTGCTTGAAAACATCTACTCTGAAGATTCTTGAACCACTATGCAAAAAAGGAGCAAAAAAGGAGCGAATTTTTTATTTCTAATTTAGACTATTAAGACCTTGGAACTTTTGTGTTGATGAAAATTTGGAAAAAAAACAATAAGTTTTTTGCTACGAAATTCTGTTTTCAAAACAAAAAATTCAACAACATTATTTTTGAACTTTTATTTTGTCTGAATTGTTTAGCTTTGTTTTTCAAATAAATACAACTCAGTTTGGTTTTTCTATCTGTTTTCGACTACTCCCAAAGACGCTCGCTCAAGTAGAGTAGCATGTTTAAGGTTTTTGAGTCGTCTTTTTAATTTCAAAAATTTCAAATATTTTGGCCCAAATTACAAAAAAAATTGGCCCGAACTTTTCCGTTTCTCAAGTATATATTCTCGTTTTCAGGTGTCCAAGTATTTAAATTCTTAGCTTATTTTTAGTGTTCATTATGTTTTTTTGCATCAAATTACCAATTGATTTTACTAATAATACGTGCTGTTTACTAACCTAATTGAGTCAAAATGTACCCTAAAAACAACATCAAACTTAGAAACAAGAGTTTGCTGATTAATTTTTTATGCGTTTTTTATCGAAACTTTTTTATTATGATGCGAAAGCTAATTAAACCTTCTAAAAATATTTTCTTCGATTGTAGTAAGTTCTGTGCGGCACAAACAAAAGGTTTTGATTTAACGAGGTTTCTCACTGATTTTATCTCACGAAATTAGACAAAAAAGCAAAAACTGGTTTTTCTCAACGTTGAATAAGTTTGTTGAAATTTTCAAATATTTATTCAAGTCACGACTAAGAAATTTTCACTATGATCTATAATTTGATTTGTTCTAGTGATTTTTTTTTGCTCTTTGTTTAGAGCACTAAGAAGATTAATGAGATGGTTCGACTACCTTGCATTTTTTTTTGATTTTATTGCCATCAAAATTTTCAAAAAAAAAATCAGTTTTCAGCTCCGTCACGTTTCAGAAAAATTGAAGATAATAATTGATTTGAAAATTCATATTGAAGGACTGAGCATTTATTTTAGTCGAGTATCAAGGAAAAACTAAAAACCTCTCATAGCACGTTAATTGATTTGAGCTTCAATCATGAAAATAAAAAACCGACAAAAGCAGAATAAAGCACAATTCATAGCAGCTGTCATACGCATACGTGCTTCTTTACTCTACTTAATTCTCAGTCTCAAACTGCACATATTTTGTAAATTGATGATTAGAATGTTTTTTTTTTTAAAAAAAATTCGGCAAAAAACTTTGTATATGATGTTTTGTCGAATCCGATGAAGCAAACAAAACTTCGTTTTTTGTTTGTTACAAGTTCCGTCCATATTTTTGGACATTCTTACGTGGTGCAAAAGTGTTTTTCCCCCTCAACATAGAAAAACATAGTCTTATTTTTACGTTTTTATTATGATTGAATTTTTCTGAAAATGCATAAAAGGCGAGTGTTTGAAAGAAGAACGAACCAAAAGTTTTTTTATTTTGAAATCTTTATTTAAGAATATAGTGATTTGTTTTTATCCTAGCATCAAAATTTGCAGTGATGATTATATGTGTTATGCGTTTTTTAGAGATAATTCAGTAATAATCATGAACTATAGTTTTGCACAAAAGAAAAAACATTCAACCTTTTTGACTATGGGAATAGTAGGAAAAAGTTGTAACAGTTCACTTATAACGCTTGAACAGAGATAAGTTTCAAAAAAAGGAGCTAAAAAATTGATCAAGAATTTTGAAACATTGTTTTGAAATAAATCATCTAAATATGGCCGTTTCTTGAAAGTTTGATTACACAAAGTGAAAAATACTTGTTATAAAATTTTTGTCATTTTTGCGGAATTTTGAAAGACTCAAATTTTTTTCTGGTCAGCTTATCAAAAATTCTCTGCCAGATGCATGGTTTTTAAGTCACATAAAACTAAATTAATTCGCTATCGATGTTTTTTTTGGAGATTCTTTTTTTGAGCCGGTTTGTTGTTCGTTTTTGTATATTCTTTTCTGATTGCAGTCGTCTGAGCGATTTCATTCAACTGCTATTTAAAAACCGGATATTTTAAGGTGTAATATAGTTTTTTTTCAATATTTGCCCAAAGACTCATATTAATTTGCCATTAAAATTTTCGTTAAAAGTTTCAGTTTTCAGTTTTGTCACTTTTCATGCGACCTAGAATGAGTGAGACTTAGAGTGAGACTTTGAGACTTAGAGCAAGGCAATTATTTAAAGCTGATTTGAAAAAAGCAAAAAATAATTTCTTGATGTGAAACTTCCATATAAAAACAATTAAACCTACAATTTGTTTTCGAATTATTCCTACAACTTATTTTCGAATTTCTCAGTTTAAATTAAAATAATGAGCCTTAGCTTGTTTTATCCACCTAGTTTCAATATGAAGTCAACAAATTTATTCAAGTTTTTTCAATCGTGAGTAATTTTTTCATTATTTACTTTAGATGTTTACAGTTTTTTTTTTTGGAAACATTTCATTGTATAGAAACGCTAAGAGAAGCTTTAAAACTCATTTTCCTTGATTTAAAAGAAGTTTTGTACGGTTCGAACTAAAAATTTCCTATAATAAATTTTACTAGCTTGCTTCATTTGCTCAAATTTAGACTTGAAAGCAAAAACTCCACAGCAGTTTTTTAAGTTTTTTGAGCATAGTTTGACAATTTTTCAAAATAAACGGGGTCACAACTAACAGAGTTATACAATGACATAACTCAAACTGTTCAGACGTATTTTGTGCAATTTTTTATGAAAAGAAAAATCTTTTTATGTAAAAAATGAAACGTTTAATTACAAGAATTAATTAGAAAAAAAGCACGTATGACAGCTTTTCTAAATTTGTTCAAATTTTTTTTACAAGTAGCATCTATCTTCGGCAAGGTTTTTTGCAGTCGCAATTTGAGCTCAAATTTCTCCTTCATCTTTAGCTAGTAGTTACGATGGTTCACCAATTTTTCTTATATCACAAAACTGAATTTTTCTATAAATTTTTTTATCTTAATAATACAGTTTTCATAAAGTTGTCACGATTCAAATTCATCAGCCCAGTACAAAAGGGAACTCTCGCTGCAGAAAGTTTTGACTATTTTAAACATGGGTGTAAACAAAAATTGGTACACCAAGTTTTTGCTTCGTGGAGCGTATGATGCAAACGATATGCTTGTTGAAAATCACTCATTCAAAAAAAATCAATTTTTGTTTCTTAATTTATACTCGGAAAATTGTTGAAAAAAAAATACATTCGTATCTTTTGTGAAAACTGGATTGGACAGTTTTGAATACCAATGAGTCTAAAAAAATTGTACATTTGCGATTCTGCTTTTGTCTGCAAATTCAATGTCTTCAAAATCGTTGAGCATCCTCCGAAGATCTAGCACTTACTCACACAAGAAAACAAATACTGCAAACACATTAATTTAGGATTTCGTTAAAAAAAACATATTCGGTTATCACACAAAATTATTTTGAACTAAAATCAAGAAAAAGCAGCTAAAAAAACTTGTTGGTAATTGTTGGACAAGTCGAAATTGTTGGTAAATAATTAGTTGAAACCCTTTTCACGCCAGCAGAGAAGCCTGCATAAAAAGTCTTTAAATTGTCAACGTCTTTGACGCCTACTGGGGGCAAAAGAAAGTTTTTCGTTGCGATGTCGTTTTCATCTAGGTACCAAATAAGGCAATTTGAGATTGCAGTTTATGTTTGAAGCCACCCTTGCTTCGACATTACGAGGCCAAACTGTGCATTTTGTGAATTGTAAGCGGATTCCGCAACAGGCAAAAACCAGATTTGTCGCGGATTCTGCAACATTGCTATTTTTCTTTGATCTTCTCTGCTGTTTTGGATTCCACGGACAAAGAGCTAAAACACTGTATTGCTCAAAATCGCTCCAAAAACAGGCAAATTTGTGGAATCCGCAACAAAATGTGTGGAATCCGG